GCATGGAACATAAAACGAGTCAACTACAAAGAGTTGGTGAGCTCACGAGTTTTCACATGCATAAAACATTATAATGCATAAACCATTTATTTGCAAACTTATACGTAAACTTTTTGCACTGAATAAATGTAAATCTACCACGATGTATAAACTTGAGACGCTACTGAGCCTTACCTGATCAACGTGCCCCATTATTTTACGAACGACCATAAGTAGCCCGTACACTTACTTAGGTCCCACAGTTCGTAGTAGTACTAATTCAGCGGTGGTCAAAATTCCACATGATTAGACCAAGAAAACATAGGTAATGTGCACCCCTTTTTGGGTGGGACTGTCAACACAATAGCGGCTATCCACAATACCACGGCCCAGGGACGTGCCCGAGTTAACAAGTAGCGTTTACAGACGGGGACTTTATTTGGAAAATATATTTTCAAGCACATCAATTTAGCATTTATTTTACAGTGCTAAAACAGTCAATATTTCATGACATAATAAACTTGAAAAAAATAAACAGTTCTTTAGTCCGATGGTTTCAAACAAAGCTTGACTAAACAGTTCTTTAGCGCAATGGTTAAATAAATAAACAATAAAGTTTGCTTAATCTCATGCTTTTCCTCCAGTTAGATAGCAAAAAGCATTAAGGGTGCGTTTGGTGCGCAGACAGGACAGGACAGGATAGGACAGGACAGGACAGGACAGGACATGACAGGACAGGACATGACAACTGTTCAGCGTTTGGTAAGACATGACAGGACAGGACATGACAGGTTAAAATGACCAATTTACCTCTAGTAACCTGTTTAGTGTTTTTTTCACTAATTAATCAATATAATAAATGCTTACAAATACTATTTAAAAATACCAAAAAATTTCCAAAATCAATCTTAATTAAAAACTCACATTAATAAATCAAAAGATTTAAACATCATATTCAYAAACAAAAAGTGAAATGTTTACCAACAGACCTAAACACAAAAGATCAAATGTTTACAATTGTGTACCAAAAGACTTCAACACAAAAGATCAAATGTTTACAATTGTGTACCAAAAGACTTCAACACAAAAGATCAAATGTTTACAATTGTGTACCAAAAGACCTAAACACAAAAGTTCTAATGTTTACAATTGTGTACTAAAAGACTTCAACACAAAAGATCAAATGTTTAGCAACCAACATCACATGTCTAACTTTTTTAAGATAGTCGCTACAAATTTTGGCTTCAAAGTAGCGTTCATGCTATTCCATAGGCGTAGTTGAATCGGGTTATCGACAAAGTACATGCTAATAGCAATAACTTGATCATCATCAAAACCCATGTTGGTTAACTCATCGGGCATAGTTTGTAAACCCGGAGTACCAACAACCGATACCAACTTACCCATTTCCTTGGATAATACATTTAACCCCTTCTCAATCACCTTCATTGCATCTTCAAAAACACCCTCTTTTCTCTTCTTTTTTTTTTTGATGATGCTTCTACTTCTTGTGGAATAGAGGATGCAGAAGCGCCATTAGAAGGAGTAGTCAAAGGCACGTTCAATTCATCAGTATCAGCCCCGACTGCACTTTCAAGATTTATGTGTTCCAATGCATCTGCGGCAGATTCCGCCATTGATCCTGTGGCTTGTTCTTTTCCAAATATTGTTTTCAGTCGTTCATATTGAGGAAACGACTTGTTGGCAATATAATTTTTGCTTGAATGTTTCTATAAAAAAATGCATAAATATGAGCATTACCTTTAACTATGAAATAATAGCATAAAAAATATAAGCGTTACCTTTAAGTATTCCTCTAAAACWTGAGCATCCACCGTTACGCATTGATGTRCATCATCCCAACCGAATCCACTTGTATTCAGCATGTCATAAGCTGCTGAATATTTATCCTTGAGCCGCTTCATTTTGTTTTGGATGTGTTTTGATGTTATATTAAGGCCCGGAATCTTTTCACGCATCTTTAAAACAATTTGCTCATATGTGCCGGTCCGAAAACACCCATTATCACTCCTACCACCGGCGGTTACAATCTCTTGTAGAATGCTAATTAGTACAACCTCTTCTTGGATATTCCAATTACGTCTATCCGCCATCTTAGAATAATACATTATGATAACATTTTAAAATTCAACATTAGCAACAAAATAATACATTATGATAACATTTTAAAATTCAACATTAGCAACAAAATAATACATTATGATAACATTTTAAAATTCAACATTAACAACATTTTAAAATTTAACATCTAAAACATAGATAATATAATACATTGAGTACATTTATGTACTTGATATCCACGACTCAAACATCTCTTGGGCTATGTCATCTCTCCATTGAGTCCACTCATTGCTCGATTCAACAACATCAATAGATTCAACATCATCGTTGGATTCCACTTGCTCTTCCCCTATAGGCATATCTTCTAGTGTAAGTGTCGTGTTTTCTTCCGGATCAAGAACCATGTACATCCTAATAAAATTATGTAGCAAAGCACATGCTATGACCATCCTTCCTTGAAGTTTTATTGGATAGAAAGAAGGACTTCGTAATATGGCCCAACGCTTCTTCAAAATACCGAAACACCTTTCTATGATATTCTTAGCTTGTGAGTGTTTCATGTTAAAATATTCTTCCTTATTTGAAGGTGTATGACCAATGTGTTCCCATTCTCGTAAATGATACCTAGTACCTCTATATGGTGCTAAAAATCCGTTACCATTGACATATCCTGCATCAGCCAAATAGTAATTACCCATTGGGACTTTTAAACCATTAGTTCGTGTAACCGCATCTCGTAGTACCCTAGAATCGGTAGCTGAACCTTCCCAACCAGATAAAACATAGATGAAATTCATGTCCTGAGTGCATGCACCTAATACATTAATCGCAATATGACCCTTTCTTGTTCGGTATCGTGGTTTATCGGACTCAGGTACAGTCACTTCAATGTATGTTCCATCTATTGCTCCTATACAACCCTATAAAGAAAATAACTTGGTTTTAGCTAAATGGTAAAAAATTTATATCACATGTAACAAGAAAAGCTAACAAAGATTACCTTAAACCACTTCCATCTTCTGTCGGTACAATCATCCTCTACCGGAGTTGGCTTGCTAAACAAAATGTCTTGCAATCGCAACAAAGCACTTAAAACTCGATGAACATACCTACTAATTGTTTCCCCCGACCTATAAAATCTAACTTGAAGACATCTATTTTTGGTGTGATGTGCTAAAATGTTTACAAATGTAGCAACTTGTTCTTCAATTGTCACGTTACCATCATCTAATAGTCCACCCCGTGTTTTTAGCAACTCACACAAAATAGCAAATGCATTCCTATCCATTCGCAACTCATTCACACAAATAATGTCACTTTAACGTGTGATGCGTTGGATTTCTATCGATCTAATTTGTAATCTAGTGAATGTTCTTTGCCTTAAACTTCTCCTCCAATATTGTCTTTGTTCATATTCAATTAACCAATTCGCAAAATTGACCAAAAGTATGAGCAAGTCGATATAAGATTTCAACACTTTAACAACTACAAGTATATGGTTTCGATCCATTCTACATAAAAAAAATGAGATGGAGTCACTATAAAATGTTTAAAAAATGAGATGGAGTCACTAGCATAAATCAAGTAGCATAAATCAGTAAAATGTGCATTAACTGCTTGATTGAGATTGGCACCATGCTCCTGATACCAAAAAGACAAATGCAGTACAACATAAAGATCCAAGTTGAAAACCAGGAAAAAAGAAAACAGCAGCTTCAACATCAAATATTAATGCTAGGGGAAGACCAAATTCAACATCAGTTTGTGGCAGTGAAGAACAATGTTTTTTCTGGTGAAAACAAACGGTTTTGGTATGACCAAGTGAGCACAAGAAGTGTAGTATTTGTGTAGCATTTTATATGTACACCATTGCACACAACTGGAAACAGATGTTTAGAACCAAATACAGTAAGGCTATACAGGACAAAGATTGCACTCATGATGGACAAAGTTGCATTGAAATGCCTAAATAAAATATAACATAAGCAAGTCCATGACCAACTTCAATGAGCTGCATCATCAACATCAGATCACCATTTGGTGTCCATTTCCTCAAGCTAAACATGTAACCAGTTATCCTAAAACTAAAGAGCTTGTTGATGGCTGTTAACTGTGAACTCTATGAACTAGCAACCATCCTAGAGGAGCAATAGGTTAGAGAATACAGTCGGTGTTTTAAATAGAAAAATGCATGACCACAAGAAAAAAACTGGCTATGCACGGCCACAAAACAAATGAAACAGAAACACAACTTACTAAGGTATCTTGTGGCAACACTTTCATTTTGGGAGAGAAAAGAATTAGGGTTACCCAAATAGAGCTCGTTCACTACTCACAGATCGATAATGCGTACCTGAGTATGGAGAGAAGAGAAGCAACAGTCGATGAACAGTCGAGAAGAGATGGTCGCCGTCCGTCGATTGGAACTCGCCGTCGACAGGGAGGAAGTGATGGAGGCGATGAAAAGGGTTAGGACGTGATAGCCGGGTGGGAAAAAGGGTAAAGAGGGAAAAGTGTTGAGTTCCACTTAGTTCCATGGGGGTAGGATGGAACACGTGTGTCCTATGTTTATCCAAGTTAGTTCCACTTAGTTCCACATTCAGCCACACCAAACATAGGACAAATGTGTTCTGTCCTGTCCTGTCCTGTCCCACCCTGTCCAACGTACCAAACGCACCCTAAAAGTGGGGCCATGAAAACTCACTGGTTTGACGATGAATATCCAAGAAGATGACGTCAGAAGCTCTCAACGTCCGCCCTACCTTCCTAAACAGACCAACATCCAGTATTCAGTTCACCTATGGATTCTTGACAAGGATAAAGCCTAGTTGCATCCTATGTAATGTCATCGGATTTTCATGAAATAAAGTCAATATTTTATTATTTCTTCTAAAACAGCCCAATATTTATATAAATTAGAAGGTATCAAAATCTTTTACTCAAAAGCTGATTTTTGGACATATTATAAATTCTGTTCCAGGTATTTTTGGGTTTCACGAATCACTATAAATAGGAACTTTCCAAAAGTCATTTTATGTCCAACTTTTCACATCATTCAAAATAATGAGATCAGCCGACTTTTCCAAATATCAAGAATTTTGAGTGGGTTTAAGTCACTCATTATTATCCTACAATCTAGAATTACACAGCCCCCAAAACAGATTGCACACTCTTCGAGTGACAACCATTTGTTCATCATTTTCTAAAGATTTTAAAACTACCAAAAATGGTTAACCTTCGGAAATTATTTTTCCGATTTCATTAAATTTTGAAGATGCACCAACCAATTTGGGATGCATGCAAGATTCTTCCATACTTCAAAACATATCTTACATGATCGGACTTCGCATGCAAAGGCGGTTTCTCCTACTTTCTTAAAAATCAAAGAATATGGATCATGGATTATCATCATTTTTGAAGACATTCACATGTCTTTGATGAATAATCTCCCCTCTTTAACTCTCCGGAATTTTAACTAAAAGGCCAAGAAGTAGGAGTAGCAAGACAAAATTTTGTGTTATTTTTATAAAAAATGAGATAACAAGTATCATACATTTTTCTTGAAATCTTGAGTATTCTTCAAGATTGACAGAATTTCTAGAAAGCTTACTTGCGGGAATCGGCTGGAGGGTGATTTCTATTTAGAGAGAGGTTAGAGAGATGAAAAACTTAGGCTGAGAGAGTTTGGAAATGAGAGTTTTTCAAAGGATGTGGGGTATTTATATGAAGATTTTTTAAAGAAGGAAATGGGCTGGCCTTTAAGGGCCCAAACCCAAATAAAACTTTTATAAACCCACTATAATTTACCCAACATAAATAAAATAACACTATTAATTCCAAAACTCTATCTTTTGATAAATTATGTGGACATTCAAATGGGACTTTTGTATTTTAATTTAAAAGTTTATAATATCAACTTTATTTTATTTGGAGAATTACTAAAATATTTGGCATTACACAAGTTAACTTTATCGGTTACCTGCCAAGGCGTGATCTTCCATACTAAACTTGGGAACTAAGTCAGATGAACTCTAACCACGATGACTAGATCCTAGTAAATTTATAATTCTAAATATAGGATCTATAATAAAGTGGTAACCTGAAACTCAGAAATGACAGGATGTCACACCTCTGAATCGTTAAGGGTGAATCTTGTTTGGCAAAAAAAAGTCTGTCTCTTAATGGTTCTAAAATTCTCTTAATAATTTTGTATTCTGGCCTCCCTTAACCATTCAGCAAGCTAATTTCATTGTAAACAATTATCAAACAAATATATTTTATTTTGATATCATTAGAGCATCTTAATCATTCTGACGACATAATTATATTTTACCAAACTATTCAGCAATTTCCAAACAATCCCTTATATTTTTTAAGTATATAATATTTCTATACGACAAATAAACTCACTCATCCTCCTCACTTTTATTGAGGTTTGAATCATTGACATCCTAGAAGGCGAATAACTTACATACTATTAGGCCAAATGCCCTTTAGTATAATACTATTTTTTTAAATATATAATATTTATATACGGCAAAAAAGTTATATTTAAGGCTTATAATTTACTTTCATACCTTTTATAAGTTTTTTCTTACATATTTTATTAAAATAGATAAGAGTGAATTACGTTTTTAGTCCCTGTGTTTTGTTGAAAATTTTAATTTTCGTTCCTATGGTTTTAAAATTTCAGTTTTCATCTCTATAGTTTATAAATTTTTACTTTTTTGTCATTATGATTTAAAATTTATTGTTTTTTCTCGTTTCTATAGTTTACAATTCATTTCTATTTTAGCCCTTCATACTTAAAAGTAATGTTTTGAATTCAGGGACGAAAATAGAAATGAATTAAAAATTATAAAGATGAAAAGAGAAATTTTAAAATGACAAGAATGAAACCCACAATTTTAAACAAACCACAACGACGGAAAACATAAATTACTCAATAGATGATTAAAAGTCAAAATATAAAGAAAAATATGTTGATCATCAACACATTATATTATTATAATATCAATTATTATTTCCCTTTTCTAAACATTTAATTTTAAGGATTTCAATGTAAAAAATTAATAAAAATCATACTTTTAAACAATCATTTAATTTGAAGAAGGTTTTTGATAAATCTGTTAAAGACAAAAACATCAAAATCTCTATTTTAAAAAATTTATTAAAAATGCTTTTTAATTTATCACATTTTCTTTTGTGTGTTCGTGTTCTTATTTTGTTGTTGATATCCATAGACAATTTATAGTGTCATCAATGCAACATCAGTTTTTGGATTGATTAAAAGTTATATCTTTAGTTTCCTTTACTTTTTTTGACAACGTTAAGCTGATTTTTAATAGTGTGGGTGCATATGGAAAATTGACTAGAAACTAGGGGTCGTTTACCAAACGCTTATCCGAGTAAGTGTTTATCGAGTCATATAACCTTACCGGATGAATATGATAAGGACCAAGAATCTTACCCGGTAAGAGCGAGACAAAAAACACGAGTCTTACCCGATAAGTGAGGGCGACGACTCTTACCACGGTAAGCGCTTTACCAAGTAAATTGTTACATACAATGTCATTTTTGGTGGACTAAAATCATAACCGGTAAGTAAATAATAGTGTTAGATTTTACCGGTAAATGCTTACCGGGTAAATGTTTGGTAAACGGCTCTAAGACAATAATGACATATTATCTTTCATTAACACATTTATTTTGTTCATACGAGGTTTATATTAATAATAAGCTTTTTTGTGACATGTTGGTTACTCGTTAAACTGTTTATTTGTTGTCGAAACTCATGAATGAGCAAGTAAAACAAAACAAACCTAAATATTTCAATTGTAAACTCGAAAGAATTAATCCAAAGAAACAAATGAATTGTATTTGTTTTGTATGACATTAACATATTATGATCATGTAATGCATAATGTCATATACAGGGCTATACAAAAAAAAAGTTCAACCAAATATAAACCACTAACAACGTAATTAAACCCAACTCGTTAAAATGTCAATCCCTGAAACAATTAAAGCACCAATTAAAAGGGTTGAAATTGGGTTAAGGGGTTGTTTGTTTATCTCTTAATAGTTCCATTAAGAGACAACCTTTGAATCGTTAAGAGGTGAATCTTGTTTAACAAAAAAAAAAAATCTGCCTCTTAATGATTCTACAACCCTCTGAATGGTTTTGTATCATGAGTCTCTCTTAATTATTCATCACCCTAATTTCGTTGTAACTATTAAGTCTAGGTCAACCTATTCCCAAACCTACCAACCTACCGCTAATATATGTTACTTCAATAAAACTTTATTTATATCTATACATAATATACTACTCTAATATATATAAATATATATATATATATATATATATATATATATAGGAAGGTTCAGATGAGAACACATGCGATTCATGCACATGCAAGAACACCTGTAAGTTGATAATCTTGTTGTAAGTCATAGTTTTAGAATGATGGACGCAAGGGCGGACCTACTGAGACTAGAATGGGGTCC